GCTCAGGTTTGTAGTACACATGAGGGATACACTGTCTCTGGTGAAAATAACAAGCAGCCAAGAAGAAATCGCCAAGGAATCCTGACTTTCCCCACTAGGTTTGCCTCCTAGAATGTAAATACAGGCTCCAATGTATGATCTAAGAAAGATGGAAAGATGTTACCTACCCAAAGGCAACTCCTCATTGTTTTGTCAAGATATCTAAGTTTCTCAGTTTTAGTATCTCCTCATAGCAATAAACTAAATCACATAAAGACTAAGTAACAAATAAGACTAAATAACATAAAATATTGAGAGAGATAACTCAGTTAGAAGGAATTAGATTAAATGTATAAATTAGTCAATATAGCACTAGCTGCCACTTAAATAGCACTTAGGCCTTGGGGACTGTTAGTTATTAAGAGCATTTGATTCAAAGTTTTGCATAAAAGCAAACTCTTATTCTTTATGGAAGGGAAGAACCAGACAAAACACTGTATTTTATATCTAGATATATTGATTGTCACTGTAGAAAAGACCTTACAGATAGCCATTAAGCTTCATTGTATTTCTTAATGCCCCTTTGGTTCTATCATAAATCGAGATCATGACATTATGAGAGTATTTATAGAGTTAATAATTTCCAGCTCTCATCTGGGTCCATCTTTCTTTAGATTTCCTGCCTAGTATATAGGAAAAGCCCGTTTGGAAATTGAGAAAACATCCAGAGACTTCTTCGAAAAGCTATACTCCTCCTAAAGCCATACATTTTTTTAACTAACAGATGTAAATTTGAAGGGGAAATACCATATACTATAAGCCATTTGGGGATATCCTGTCTCTTAAGGATGACTTACACTTATCATTTGAATGGCATGGATGCTAGGAGCTTAAACTTAAAACTCAGCTGCACTTTAGCTCCGAATCATTCCTTCCATGAACTCTGCGTGCAATTTTATGACAAACAGACGTGTATGAAGCATGTGACCTCATTGGCAGTTATCTGCAGTGTCAAGTACTACTGGCAGATACCCAACAATTGACTGACACACATCTTATAGAGCTGGAGTGAATTAATACGTCTACCAACTCCCAAATGTACGACAGGAAACAGAAAATCTGTTTAATACAGCAATCAATGACATACTGTGTGTGGTCAGAAGGCATTTACTCTACAGCAAGAGTAGATTTTGGAATACAGTATTCAGGAGTGTAAACATTGCTATTAAAATGCTAAGGGAATAAAATAAGGTCTATTTAACTGGAAGAATACATGAGGAGGTGATTTTGCAAACTATCACTTTTTAAAAGGAATTGTCCTTTTCCTCCTACATGATCTAAAGCTATTGAATGATGAAGGGAGTCCTGATTTACTTCAAAAGTGATGTCTTTATTTCCGTGGCCACTGGCCATCTGGAATGGTAAGTCCATAATGTCATTTTCCATAATGGGTTTCAACAACCTTGGGAACTCAGTATAAGACAATGAGTTATGTTAAAGGAAGAACACTGAAAAGAAAAAACTGAGTGTTAAAATGTCCGTGAAAGCCATGATAAAAGCAAAAATGTCTGTTTTGGGATGATAAAATTATTCATAATATGTAAAGGCTGGACAGATTTTTAAAAGGGAAACTATTTCATTTTTTGCATAGTAGGGGGCAGGTAAATAGCAAACATACATGTTACTTCTAAACTAAAATCTAGGACAAAGATGTGTCCTGGTTCTATCTGAAAACCATTCTTGTAAATAAATTACTAAATTCAAACTTCATGAAAGTTATGAATTCTAATCCAAAAAATCCTGCTCTCAGTCTGATTGCTATCTTATTTCTTACTCATCCAATCTTTCTATTACCCTCATTCTTTTCCCAACTGTATGAAGCACATACTGTTTCTTTTACCAAACTTCACAACGAGCATAGCTGTTTAAATCCAGGGGAAGTATTTTAAGATCAATTTAGAGCAGATTCTCTCTTAAGGCAGCTTAAGCATTGAAAATTAAATTTTATGTCGTCTAGACAAACTATCATGATAATATCTTTTCCAGAATTTCCTAGATAGACTGTCTAGACTGCTCCAAATTCCCCAGGTAATGGCACAATTGTCTTCTCGCTGACCTCCTAAACAGTCTGGAATAGTATTTCCCAGTATATAGCTGCCATGCAAATCAAGATCCTTGAGCTTCTAAAGGAGGACCTCTCTCAAAGGCTCTGAGCTTTAGAATTTCAGAGAAATACTTGCTCACCAATATCCCACCTCAGAGAAGATCATATGGGAATGTTTATTTGTTTCAGTGGAGGAAACGGCTTCCTCCTTTTGCTTATGTATATGGCCTGGCTCCGGAGTCTGTACCTCTCTATTCCCCCCACCCACCTCTAAGGCAGCGATGAGTAATTAACCGACGGCTTGAGAAGGAATATGCTGTGAACTCTACTAAATAGCAACTTCAAATAGAAAAAGGAAGAGGATATTTTTGGGATAATGATAAAAATATGGGAACAATATATGCTATTTTAATTTAAGGTAATGAAGGTCATCTAAGCTTCAAATTTAAAAGTGAAGGAAAATGAGGTAAGTGCAGAAGCCTATACAGAATCATATGCGAGTCCAGTGCCATGATTTACAAAATCTGATGAAGTGAAGTACATTTAAGAGGCAAGGTGACACTTAATTACTAACATGAGACAGCAGCGGCTTTCAGCCCCGAGATGCTGATTTCAATTTTGAAGATGATAACTGACATTTTTTCCAGCACCTACAACCTATTAGACAACATTAAACTCACAGAACAGTTGATGAGGTATGAGGTAGAAATCATTCTCTATCACTTTCTAGATTAGAAACAGAGACAGAGAAAATAAGCAGCTTGCTCCATATAAAGCATCTAGTATCAAACTGAGGTCGGACAAAAGTCCCTGAAGTCTGAGGCCAGAGGACACGCTTTTAACAATGATGGGATTAGAACTCCTTGAGTTTCCATAGCAAAAAATGTCAATGGGTCAGGTCCTGCTAGGAGGGTTAAAAGGCAGTGGGAGATATCATATTTCCCCATGTATAAGACGCACCCTTTTTTGAAAAGTTTTTTGAAAAATTATACAGTGGTTGTAGATTTCAAATGACATAGATGGAACTGAGGATGAGGCAATATATGAAGACAGTGATTCGTCATCAGACACAGATGAGGACAAGCTAACGGTTGGGAGTTTTGACAGTGATGAGGAGTTATGTGAATTTTATGATGAATAAAACTTGAGTTCAATAACTTTATGTAATCTATTTTTTTTCAAATTTCGGACCCCAAAATTAAGGTGCATCTTATACATGGGAGCGTCTTATACATGGGGAAATACAGTAAGTCTTCAACCTCTTACTTAAAATACATGAATACCAAGGACCAAAGATTCGTTTAGTTTTATTTTACGTATTACGAGACAGTCTCAGAGAGATTAAGGAATTTTTCCAGTGCTGCACAGCTAGTAATTTGTAGAAGATTGAAGCCAGCTGTGACCCCAAAGCCCATGTCTTTTCCACTACCCAGTACTAGGAGCTCAGCTATCCTAACTCCGTTTCTGTACAGCAGAAGCAAAAAGTACAACATTATTTGGAGGGAATTCTCTAGAGCTATCTCCAGAATACAAAAATCTGGGACAATCACCTTGGGCCCAAGTGTCAAGGCACCTGACTCTAGGAAATGACTGAGAAGGAGGCAAAGGGAGAGATTTATCCAGAAGGCACTAAGAAGTGTACAAAGTCTGCAGGACCATGTGCAGGACCAATTAGAAAATGATTCCTAATTTCACCAACAAGAAACAGGCAATTTAAGTAAAACTGCCTTTCCTTAAGGTTACTTTTTTTATTAAAACTCTTGGGTATGTCAGAAAGTACAGCATATGCGCTTGTGAGGGTGGGGAACAGGCTGATGGGGGGGAAATTACCTAAACTGGTGAGACCTGAGGAAAGCGTTTTAATCTTCCCAGGCTAATAAAGAAACTAATCATTGTACTTTGTCTGGAAACCATATTGTCCCTAAAGTGTCTTCTTAAACAAAATAAATAAACAAAAGGCACAACACTTTTGATTTCTAAGCCTTTGGGTTGAAAGAACACATTTCTATCACTTTAGGACACCGTAAAAAAAGTTAGAGAGAGTCTAGCATCTAAGTTATAAAGAAGTGGCTAACGTAAATTATAGTTTACCTTTAGCGTTCCAGAAATATTCTAGTAACAAATCCTTAATTTGTTGAGGATCTCTGAATTCCAATTTGCAAGAAAAGTCTGTCACATATGATATTCTCACTACATGAACACTTTTGTTCTTCTTAGGATTTTGAGCCAAAAATTATAAAAGGGTTTATAATTGAAGGGCATTGGTAGGCTTTCATTATTAGTAACAATTTCTGTAAATATTCCCCTAATTTCAATTTTTATTTCAATTTACCTAATTTTAACCTCCTCACTAAATTTGCTCACTAAAACATCTTTCAGGGACAATAGATAAATAAAGGAACATTTTTTTTTCTGTATCAGCAAAATAATAGCCAACAGTATAAAAGCAATACTTAGCTGAGCAAGAACATACATGTGAGCAATTTAAGTCAAACATGAGAGCAGATCACTGTGCTAACATCCTTTTTGAATCTTTAGGTAGGAGAAAACAACTGGGGTGGCAGACACTTCGGGCTGAGAATGAAAATGGAGGGGAAAGCTGGCAATATGCACATGAAGGAGAAAACAGTACACTTTCAGCCTGCTGACATCTGCTGCACATGCAAAATGGATTGGGCTCTGTAATCCAGGCGAAAGCAAATGTTTTCTTCCTTCCTTCCTCCTGTTCCGTAGTTATTGTTGAGTGATGGTCTCATTGTTTTTGCATTCACAGATTAAAATTAATAACAGCATCTGCATTTGAAGCAGGTCCACTGAATAGCGAACCAGAAGCTAAATGCACTGAATAAATTAGTAACGAAGCATTTGAATGGGAAGGGGTCATGGACAAACACTATTTTTTAAAAGCCAGCTTTACCTCAGGATGATGTCCAATTTCAATGTAGGTGCAAATTGGATGAAAAGCCCCAGTTCCACAGGCGTACAAATGAGTCTGATTATAAGCCTTAAGCACCTTGATGAAATTAGCACATTCTTTCTGTAAGACAAAAGGAAAACCGGTGAGTTCTAGCAGTCAGCATGACTGAGGTATCCTCTAGGGTGCTAAGCATGTTTCAACAGATTTCTTTTGTGTCCTTTTCACAGCATTTCTAGGGCTAATCATTCTATTGTTTGTTCATATTATCGCATGAACTAAAAACATGGAAGTTCTTACTCTTTGGGGATGTAAATAAAATACTTTCTTCTGTAACTCTTTTATAAAACTATGTGTAATTTATTTATACAAAATAACCAACAATCAGATGGCTTTTCTAGAAATGAGAACAGCGAATTATTTGATTAATGAATGAGATAAACAATACAATGTGAAAATTTCTTGCAAAAATCAGATTTGAATTTAAGAAAAGGAAAACAAAAATAAAAGATGATATGACCTTCTCTTAAACATGAAGTTTAAATGTCAATAGTTATCCATAGTGATGGGCAATTGACTTTGAACTTTAGTAGTACTGCTTAATAGTGAGCTCTACAGACCCTAAGAGGGTAGAGCCACCTCCTGCGGAAAATGTCACTTCATCCTCGAAGACATTTGGGTATATTTTTGATGAGATAAAGATGTTAGAGTTTGGAATATCTGTAGTGTAGGCAACCTTTTGTAGAGTGGCTATAATTAAATACTTTAAGGAGATCCACGGACATCTTGAACCCATACTTGGACTCCCTGCTTAATGAGCCATGGATTGCTCCAAGTATAGAACACTTAGTGATAAGAGTAAATTCTAGTCATGTCTTATTATTATTATAGAAGTTTAGACATTCTCACCATTTTATTATCTGAGTAAAATATTGCCTAAGAAATTAAATGGACAGAGCTGTTTGTATTCTTTCTATATGCTGTATTATATCTGTAGATTCTGTGAAAGAAAATGTTTTTCTATGAGGGATCTGAGGCTTCTGTCCCTGTTGAGGAAAGAGTTGGAGGACAAAGTGAAATATTCAGAATATAAATTGGATAATTTTATTGTGAAAAAAAAAGAGAAAGAAAGACAAAATATTTCAATATTGTAAAAAGAAAAGCTTTCAAAATAGCTTCAAATAAAATGTTATGGTCTATTAACCATATAACAAATCTTAAAAATTGAATACGTATATAAGAAAATATGAGTTCATAATGGAATACATAATATCTGTTTTGAAAATATGCAAATGTGTAGTCAAATGCTAAATAAAGTTGCACTGAAAATTATTTTGTTATCAATCATAGACATTCTTTATTATCATTATTATTATTATTATTATTATTAGTTTCAGGTGTACACAACGATTCTTAATTAGTTTTGTGTTTTTGTCTATAAACATTTGGAATTAAGAACCAAACATGTAACAAGAAATGCAGATAAAGATAAAAAACAGACTAGAGTGCAAGCAAGTCTGACAAGCACGATAGGGGTGTCAGCCCTGGCACCTCTAAGTGTGTAAACACTCCCAAAGTCACTCTCTATGACATGTGACTTGTCAAGTGAAAAGCTCAGAATGTATCGGGCTTATGTAGTCAGTTGGAGTTTATAACTGTGGTGTTACAGTAATTTCAGTACATTTCCACATGACATCTGTATTCTGTATTTGCAGCCAATGATTTAGGTCTTAACTCTATTGCCCCCATAAAAAAGGGGGCAGGCAGCCAAGCTTGAGCAGAATAATTGATATTTAAATTTAAATAATTGCTTTCCATCATCACTGATTTTCCTAGGATGAAACTTGAGGATGTCCTATAAATATATTGTCCTAAAAGTGAATTAGATCTATTTAAAGTAAAATATGCAACTTCCAATGTATGACTCATCATGATTTCTTAATGTATGCTGAGTAGTTTAGGGGAGTAACTATAATACACATCTAATTTATCCCACTGTTTTATTATCCCACTGTTTTGCTACTTAGATCCTGAATCTTACTTGTGTCTAGAAAGGGATTATAACATATACAATTAAGCTCTGAAATCAACTGATTTTTTCAAGTTGCTATGAAGAAAAATTTCCTAGCTTAAAGGGTATATGGATCTCATCCATGTTTCACTTTGAACATGGTGCATCTTAGGCAAAACTGTGAAACTGATATAAGTTCCAAGACTCTCAGCAACAAACTCCCCATTCTGTAACAGTTTCTCCTCCTTCCCCAAGAGAATAGGACATGAATGCTTAGGCAGGGGAAAGAGACTGTGGAGAGGGAAACATCTGATAAACTCATTTACAAATGAGGCATTCATGAGTCTTACCCAAAGGATTTATTTGTACTTTTAAGAGAATGCAGTCATTTGCAAAGAAGTCATTTTCAGGAAAATGTTTTACTGCATCCCTTTCTTTGAAACATACAGGTGGCCACATGCTATGCTTTTACATAAAGACAGCCATCCATGATTGTGAACTCAACATTCAAGATTATAAATAACCAGTTCCATCACCATATGTTGAAACCAAGAAATGGCCTGTGTATATATTGGTAAGCAAATGAATATTCTAATAAATAATAGCGATAGTCTCAGATATATGTCTTGTTCATCTTAGACAAGAACAGGACTTTAATTTGTTTGCCATACCTTTAAAGATATGCATGCAATTTTGAATACAAATGCAAATTCTCTAATCCCATTAGTAACACCTAAGTGCATCCTAGAAATCTGAGAACAGACAGGTAGTTCACAATAAAAAATAAAAGGAAGGAAATATTTTATGAGCACAGATACTTGTAAACACAAATGAAGGCTCATGTCACCTCTGCAACTTTATGAATCTTAAAATCATAGACTTTGTGGGTTCTTATCTCTCATAGATTGGATAACTGGTTGCCAAAAAGTAATGATTGAAAAACTCACAGGGTTCTTGAAAACTATGGAACTGAGCCACACTGAATATCATAACTTTAATTTCTTCTCTCTTAACTGTCAAAGAAGAAGTGCTTTAATATGACAACTATACTTCTACAGAGCTGGGGGGTGGAATGGGGGTGGGGGGGTCAATCACAGGACTATTGCTGTGAAAGCTGGCAATTGGTTCCACTGAGAGTGCTGATAACAGAGTCTATCTGTTCTACAAAGCTACTAAACCCCCCCTATTGGCCTAAGGCCTAGAATGATCCCTTTCATTTCCCCACTGAACTCTCCCAGTTGGCAGCAGGTTGTATTGTTGCCATGCCCAGGGGCTAGCTCAATATTATTTTGAAACGAAGGTTGATGCAAATAAAATAGAGAAAAGTTGCTTGGGTCTGTAGAGGTGTGTTAAGACTGAAACAAAACAAAGAAATCGAATGAAATAATTTAAAAACTGGTTAAAAAATAGCTGTGAGAAAACTCATTAACAACAATGGAGGAGAATACAGTGAATTAAAAAAACTGGACAGAAAAGAACCAAAAGCTTAAAAGAGACATTGTTAGCAAGAATGTCTTCTTTAAAGAGAAAAGCTACATGAGAGTATCGTCCTGTCATTCATTTGCCTTCATTCTCTAGCTTGTTGTTGCCAAGGTTTCTGAATGTTCCAAAACAGGATATTCATTTTATTTGGAAACAGCCTGGACATTCCATTAAAAAATAAGGAAGCGTGGCAGAAAAAGGAAACACACTTCACACATCTCTGCTCTAGGGAGACAGAAGAAGAGTGTTTCTGACCTTTTCTTGAACCATGACGATTCTTAAAACACAGAATGTAATGTACTTTTTGGCATGAAATTACTGCACTGCTTTGCTCAGCACTGGCGGATTTACAACGTAATAAAGAGAAATGTAATCAGTTCAAAATGAATTCATTTTCAAGCCTTGATCCTTTTTGAAATTTAAGTTGATATACACAGACAAGTTTAGCAACAAGTTGTCTTCCCAAGAGTCAGGCAACCATACTGACCTCTTATTTTACTGACATGTACTCCAGACCAATAGCATTATAAATTGCTAACTTAGCTGAGAAGGAAAAGTAAAGGCCATTATAAACCAGTAAACCCCAAGGCCACACCTAAGAAACAATGATTCATCATCTTTAGTGACAAACCATTTACTTTTGTAAAGGGTTTCTAGTGTTTTCAGATCAAATGGACAGAGGAATTACACCTAGAGATATTAGCCTGGAAAAATAAATTAGAAAGAAAATGTCTGCCCCCGGAAAAAGACATAGGAACCAAATGCAGAGTGATCCAAAAACAAACATTACAAATATGTAGCTCTGATTAGACTGTGTTATGCAGACTTTTCCTGGACGGTTACAAAAATAAAGTCCATCCATCTGTCAAAACAACTGTTCCATGCATGAAAATTAAAGCAGAATTGAGGTGTTTTTAACTAACTTCCGATAATTATATTTTTCACAAAAGAATATAATTTACCTGGAATTCCAATTACCTCCTTGCATGTTCTTAAATTATGGATGGAACAATGAAATTTTACTCTAAGAAGAAAGAGGGGAGAAGGCTATAAAGATGAACAACCTCTATTCAAATATATTCAGTTCATGATTAAATCTAACAACTTGTTCTGGTTCAAATATAATCAGCCCAAAATGAAGAGGTACAGTGCAGCATTACTTCAGGTCACTGAACATTCATTTAAATAGGGGGGAAAAATGTCTATATCCTATCAGTAATTTATGTAGAAATATTTTAATGTATTATCTAGCAGCTAGGAAAGCAAAGGAAGTATTTTTCTATCATGATGGGTGGATTCATTTCTCCATGAAAATCCATTAATAAACTTAATTCCTGAAGTTAATCTGTTGACTTTCTTTTTTTCTGGTCAATTTATTTGGCAAGCTAGCAGAATACTAGAATCTCTGTGCCAAAGCAGTAATCCGCGAGATTGTTCCTGTCACTCAACTTCATCCCTCTCTCTATTTAAGCAGTTCCATAGCTATCTAACAATTATGTCTTTTTTTTCTTTTAACACTGTGCTGACATCAGGTCATTCATAATCATGTTTTCCTAATACCTCAGGATTCACTAAACGATGTTAGAAATCTCTTCTTCAAAGGGACATATGTAGTAAAACTAAGATTTAA